AAGAAAGAACTCTACTCATGGGATGAGAGTCAATCTAAGCAATAATAGTGTTAATTCATACCTTAAATTGAACAAGAAAGAGATAAATTAGATAGAAATTAGGTCATATCAAGATGTTGCATTTACTATTGTTATTATTATTGGTTAGAAGATGTTTTCTTATTTTATTCATATTATATACTATTGTTAATTTTTTTTTTTTTGCCTTTTAAATATAAATTTTACTTCACACACTTTTATTAACATATCAAAATAGTTTGTAATACAAGTTAAAGGAATAAAATAGAACTAAAAAAAATGACAAGAAATTGAAAATGAAAGAAGGGATAAGAAATAAAACTATAAAACAAAACTTTGCAAGTTAAGCAATTATAAAAGAAAGAGTTGGTAAAGATTTATATAAATAAAAATTAAAAAAGAAGAAGAATTATCAAATACTTTCCTTTATTTTTATAATACTTTACCTAAATCTTGCATGTTAAGAATAACTATAATATGATTTTTTTTATTAAAATAATAATTGTTATTTTTTCACTTCAATTTTTGTGCATTATGAATATGACTAATCTTTCTATTTACATCTTACACATTATTTTTTTTTATGGTCAATACCGTTAGGAATTTTACTCCCAATCAATGTACTCTATAATTTAAAACCTATAAAAAAACTCAAAAATTAATAGTTAAACCCCTATTTGCACCCTAATTTTAATGATAATTTAAGGTTTTTTTTATAGGTTTCAAATTATGAAAATGTTGATTAAGAATAAAAATTATAGAGGGTTTTGACTGCTAGTGAAAGTTATGGAGAGTGTTGACTACCGAAAAAAAAAAAGAGTGTAAGGTGCAAAAAGACCATTTGGTTGCTTAAATAATGTACCTAAAAAAATTGATTAAATAAGGATTACGTATAATTGAGGAAGATGAAAAAAAAATCAATAATAAAAATAGAAGATAAAAATTATTTGATTATTGGATTAACCATTAATAAAATTAAAAAAAAATAAAATTAAAATACAAATATTTCTTAGATTAACAATCCATCTATAT